GTGAACACCTGATTGGGTATTCTTTGCAAAGTGAAGTTTTACCTCATTTGCTAAGCTTTGGAGCGACTGTACATGCAGAGTGCACAGTCTATTTGTCTTTATTAAATCAAGCACGTAGTTTTGCAGCACAGAGTTGAGTATGTTCCGTGTAGTTGTAACATGTAGACTTGTATGATGTTTGTTCTGCCTCTCATCACATTGACGGCACAGAGCAGTTCAATGGAATTCATCCCTTTGCTGGCAGCGGTGGGGGGAGGGGTTAGCCATCCATTGTGCTGGGTCTGTGCGGCACACAGTGCCTGTTCTGTTCCAGGGACATTCCCGAGCTATGTTCTCCTTGTGTGTCCTAGGAATCTGCCTGTGTGAAAGTCCTGGCTGCCATGAGTATGTGGGATTTGTATGCAGACAAAGGAACCAGTGACCTGGAGAGGTTTCAGAAAGCCCATCGTCAGATCAGCGAGAAGCTTTTCACCGACTTTGTGAGTGCTCCTTTTTTTCACCATTTACTCTTCTCCTCTATACAACATTAAAGCAGAACTCTGCTGAGCATTATTTGTAACTAAAGTGACACACAGAAAAAACATTGTAGTCATTTTTACAAAATTATACCTATGGAAAAAAAAACCTTCTGTTGGTTACCAGTCAATGGCAAATTGATGGATTTACATTTTCAAGGTCTCCTTCGCAGTCCTCTGTTATGTGTGTTTGATGCATTTCAAAGGAAAACAACATCGGACCCTGGTATTTTCCGAAACACGACATCCCCAGCACTTTGTAACCTGTAAGAGCTGTCCATCCTTTAAAGCAGGGATTGGAACCCCCAGTACTCTAGCTGTTGTAGATCTACAAGTTCCAAGAGGCATTGCAAGACTGACAACCACAGGCATGACCCCCAGGCGAAGAGGAACGATGGGAGTAGTTTTAGATCAGCTGAAATTCCAAGGTTGCCTACTCCTGCTTTAAAGTGGTTCTTTAACCTTTTGAATAAAAAATATAAAGACAGCAGCTACAAATACTGTACCTTCTGGCTTTTAATAAAAGGACATTCACCTGTCCAAGGGTCCAGAGGTCCAGCGCTGTCCTCACCTGAACCGCTTCTTCGCCGGTCTTCGGGTCCCTGATGCTGGCATGTTTACCGTGGCGGGCTGGCTATGATTTCCTTGAGACCTTGCAGGCAGCTGCCCACTGCCATGCTGTGCTTTGTGAATGACGTGCCCCAGAAGGCTCCGGGTGGATGGGGGGTGGGTGTAGAATTTCTGGCGGATCGCTGCGGTGGTCCAACTGGAAGTGGGAGTCAGTACCTGTCAAAACCAGGTACCCACCAAAATGTGCCAAATGCAGATGAAGATGGTGGAAGAGGACATAAAGCAGAACTCCCCCCTTTTAGGATGAAATTCTGCTTTAAAGGATTAGTTCACTTTTTTCATGAAACACGAAAAGGAAAACTAACAACACCTTCCCTACACTCCCAGTACTGTTGCACTTAATTCCTTGGATGATTATCTTCTGCCACCCATCTCTGCTGGTTTAGCAGTTCAGGCATTTACAAAATGCAATATTCCCGGAAGCTTTGTAGTATCAAAATGCTCCCAATAGTGAATCAGCATTGGTCAATGCCGGCACATGACCAGTAGGACAGCAGAAGAGAGGTTTTCAAATTCCCCGACCACTACACTGGCAGGCATTGGTGGCAGAAGATGATCATCCAAGGCGGTAAGTGCAGTGGGGACTGGGGGTGTGGGGATGGTGTTGTGAGCTAAGATATCCATACATGGATTAAAATTCAGCCGGTTCGGCATGAACCAGTGAAATTGCAATCCATCTATGGCTGCCTCTGTTCACAAGAAGTCAATCTTCCAATCGACTTCTCATGAATGGTCTTGCTGGAAAATTTCTATCCCATCAGCGCTTGCAGCCAATTGACCGCAGCGCTGATCAGTGTATTTCGATGATGATGGGGGGAGTCCTGCTATCAGAATCCGATCACACAGCAGGGATGATTCCTGCATCCACATGTGTAGATGGGAGAATCAGGTCAGTTTTTTTTTTTTTTTTTTTTGTTTCATTCATCCTGCTGGCGGACACATCTATGGCCAGCTTTAGTTTGCCTTTTCATATTTTGTGAAAAGATGATCTAACCCTTTAAGTAGTAAGTTTGTGTCTGTGTCCTTGTTGGAGGGATTACCAATCACTACCAGTCCCTAATATACAATAGTTTGTGTCTCTGCCCCTCCCACTAGGTTTTCGCTTTTTGACAGCTGGTCCCTCCAGTTATTTCTTCTTCATTATGGAGGGGCCATCAGGAAAGTACGACACCATTCTGTAATGGTCACAACAAAGTGGCAGAAGTGGGCATTTTAGAGAGTATATATCATTGCCGGAAGAATATCTGTTTTGGATGGAGCTAACCTGAACTTTACACCCTGTATGCAGATAATTCCACATATGCTTTACTACCGGTAATCAGTTTACATTCCATTCTGATGAGAAGTCTGGGTGTGCCAGACACTGAGCATTCACCTGAAAACCAGTGAAAGCTTCATTATTCACTTTAGGGCTGCAGGGCTGGGGATTGTTTTTGACAGCTGGGTCTGAGCGCTTGATTCACTAAAGTCAGCCATAGATGGATCAAATCTCGGTCAGTTCAGCAGGGACTGGTCGAAGGTTGATCCATCTATGGACAGACAGATTGTACTGAAGTCAATCCATCAGTTAACTTCAGTACAACAAGCCTGTTGTTTTTTTTTCTTTTGATCACTGCCAGCAGCTATAGCCGCTAGCAGTGACCATGGTGTTCTGATGGTGTGCAAGGCTTCCCACTGGATTTGCGTTTAAATTAACGCATGCAGTATTTAACATGCAATTCATTTAAAAAAACGCACATTAAATACCTCATAAGTTAAATTTTATTTTGCTGTATTTAACGTGTTTTCGCAATTTATTCTAATGCAGACTGGATCTCCGGCTGCAGCAGGAAGTGAAACCTTTAGCAGTGGTAGGAATACAGTGACAGTTTAGCTCAGGGCTGCTGGTTGTTAAGGAGCCGACAACCACTGGCGTCCTAACAACCATGACTCCTCTCTGCTGTTGGCAGAATGTGAACAAAAGAGCCGCCAGTGGAAACCCCCCCCCCCCCCCCAAATCCTTTCTAGGCCCTTTAGGGCTATTATAGATTTTGGTGGAAACTTCATGCCAAAAATCCAACAACAAATGGTGTGAGGTTCCCCCACCCAAAATCCTTACCAGACCCTTATCCGAGCATTCAGCCCATGATCATGAGGACAAAGGCCTCTTCCCCACATCCTTAGCCTGGTGGTTGTGGCAGTGGGAGGGGGGGGGGGGGGGGGGAGTTGAGGTGTGAGGGTGACATATCAAAATCTGGAAGCCCTCTTTAACAAAGGGCCTCTAGATTTATTTTATTACAGGTACTTATATAGCGATGTCAATTTACGCAACGCAATATATTGTACATTCACATTGGTCCCTAACCCTCAAGGGGTGTACAATCTAAGGTCCCTAACTCACATTCATACATACACATATTAGGGCCAATTAAGACAGGATCCAATTAACCTACCAGCATGTATTTAGAGTGTGGAAGGAAACCGGAGTACCTAGAGGAAACCCACGCAGGCACAGGGAGAACATGCAAACTCCAGGCAGGTAGTGCCGTGGTTGGGATTCGAACCAATGACCCTAGTACTGCCAGGCAGAAGTACTAACCATTTAGCCACTGTGCTGCCCGCCCATTTAAATGAGTATTCCCCTACTCATTCACCAAACAAATGACAAGAGTAAATAAAAATACAACTATTTTTGACAAATGATTCAGATGCTTCTGTTTGGTCAGTGACGTCATAAGGGAAGAGGGCCACCCGGATATTTCCATGTATGGTCAATGATGTCACTGGGTGGCCCTGCCCCCTTGTTTACTTAAGCAGCAGGGTGAAGTAGGATGTCAGTCGGCAGGAGCCAAGTAATGGAGCTGTCATGGTGGCTTTTTTTTTTTTTTCTTTCGTGAGGGTGGCGGCTGTTCTTCATTGTGATTCATGTTAGTAAATCAGGGGACTTTTTTTTTTTTAATAAAGGACTTTGGTGTGTTTATTTCTAGGGCACAGTCTATTTTTTTTGGTTGAATGAGTAGGGAAAGGGGGGGCAGGATCAGGGGGGTCCTTGTTAAAGGAGACTTCCAGATTCTGATAAATCACCTCCACAGACACTCAACAGTGGGCCAGGATTGTGGTGAAGAGCTCCTTGTCCTTACTCATCAACATGCTGGTGCTTTGCCAGGGTGGATACGGGCTCCTTAACAACCAGATAGTAATTGTGCGTGTGTGTGTATATATATATATGTATATGTGTGTGTAGTATGTGTGTACGTGTGTGTGTGTGTGTATATATATATATATATATATATATATATATATATATATATATATATATATATATATATATATATATATATATATATTCCTTAAATAGCACGTAGATACATGGGTACATTGCCCAAATATCACATGCAATATCCTTTAGTGAACTGAGCCCTGTATCTGCTTGGGCCAGGTGTAAAAGTAAAGCAGAAATCTTACACATGTGAGTAGAGCTGTCATTTCTCATCACCCAGGCTATAGGGTGACCATAGGTCCATGGCGCCCAACCAGCAGCCGAGTGCTGCATATAGCTCCTTGACAATTACTGTGTGACCCATGGGGCTCCTGCAGACAGTAGCCTCTTATACCTACCCTAGGTGCTTTCTCAGGCCAGTGAAAGAAAATCTGTTGCTTTGCTTTGAATGGAGGTCACATTTTACTGTACATTTTAAGTTTTTTCTATCCCCATGATAAGCCCCTAATTATTTCAATACAATATTCACCATCTTTGTTAGTCTTTAGGCCATACGCTGACATAAATCTCGCTTATCTTCCACACAGAAAGAAAGAACGGAGAAGCTGGTCATCTCTCCTCTCACCCAGCTCCTTACAATGTTTGCTGGCCCACACAAGCTGGTGCAGAAAAGGTTTGACAAGCTCCTGGACTACCATAACTGCACCGAGAAGGCTGAGAAGCTGAAGGACAAGAGGACCTTAGATGAGCTTCAGTCTGCCAGGAACAATTATGAGGCTTTGAATGCCCAGCTTTTGGATGAGCTGCCCAAATTCCATAACTACGCCAAGGAGCTGTTTGCGAGCTGTGTGCGCGGCTATGCCAACGTTCACTGCGACTTTGTGAAGCTCGCCTTGGAGGAGTTGAAGCCTCTGCTAGATGTAAGTTATGTCATGTATTTTCTGGGTCCTGTTGCTGGCTTCTTAAGAGGACCTTTTGAAGACAGAAATGTGAGGGGTTGCATTGATGACATGTTTTTAAAAGTTTAGGTTCCAGGGATGTCATTCTTTTCCTTGCTGCTCCTATTGCCTAAGAAAGCAGAATGAAGCCAGTGAAGTGTGCACTCCCACGTGTACTTGTTCAAGGTCATGGACATATGACTTAGTGAAGCCAGGATTAGGATGACCGCCCCAGACCCTGCACCTTCAGAAACAAGTCATCAGAGGAAGGTCCATATTTCAGGTTCCCTATAAAGCATCCATTGTATCTAGATCATGTCAAACTGTGTTTATGGTTAAGCCATTGTCAACCAGTGCTTGGGGAATCTGGGGAATATTGATTTTCCTGCTGAATGTTGTGTATAGGTGTACAGAGAGCATTCAGTAGGCATAGCTATTTCCATGGAATGCAGATTTACTGTAGAAAGTTGAATATATGTGTGCAAAGATCATTCAGTAGGCACAGTTACATATGTAAAATGTAAACGTTGCTGCAGAATAATTGGCTCCTATGGGGGTGCCTTCATCCCTCATCCTCCTCTCTCGTGATTATTACAATGTCTGTAGCCATGTATTGGAAAGGTTGGTGAGGTCTTCAGGCTAGATCAGCAGCTCTGGGAATCCTGAATGAATCATATCAGTACAACCCACTTGTATTGTCTGGCTAGGAAATGCTCTTCCAAAGACACGCAGACCAAGCCGTTTATATAGCTGCAGAAAGTGTAGTTGTAGGCCACCTTGGCTTCTGAAGGACACATGTAACTTTCTTTGGTTAATAATAAACTGTGCTGATGGTTTTGTTGAGCTAAGCTGTGTTACGCTTAAGAGGACACATAGCTAAGTTTTGTTTGTGTAGTAAAAGTGCTATCCTACAGGTGAAACTGGAAAAATTAGAATATCATGCAAAAGTTCATTTATTTCAGTAATGCAACTTAAAAGGTGAAACGAATATATGAGATAGACTCATTACATGCAAAGCAAGATAGTTCGAGCCGTGATTTGTCATAATTGTGATGATTGTGGATTTGGAGTTTTCATGATCTGTAAGCCATAATCTCAGAAAATTAGAATATTACATGCAATCAATAAAACAAGGATTGTACATAGAACAATATCGGACCTCTGAAAAGTATAAGCATGCATATGTACTCAGTACTTGGTTTGGGCCCCTTTTGCAGCAATTACTGCCTAATGCGGCGTGGCATGGAAGCTATCAGCCTGTGGCACTGCTGAGGTGTTATGGAAGACCAGGATGCTTCAATAGCAGCCTTCAGCTCTTCTGCATTGTTCGGTCTCATGTTTCATCTTTCTCTTGGCAATGCCCCATAGATTCTCTATGGGGTTCAGGTCAGGCGAGTTTGCTGGCCAATCAAGCACAGTAATCCCACGGTCATTGAAGCAGGTTTTGGTGCTTTTTGCAGTGTGGGCAGGTGTCAAGTCCTGCTGGAAAATGAAGTCAGGATCCCCATAAAGCACGTCTGCAGATGGAAGCATGAAGTGCTCCAAAATCTCCTGGTAGACGGCTGCGTTGACCCTGGACTTAATAAAGCACAGAGGACCAACACCAGCAGATGACATGGCTCCCCAAATCAACACAGACTGTGGAAACTTCACACTGGATTTCAATCCTCTTTGCAGTGTGTACCTCTCCATTCTTCCTCCATACTCTGGGTCCTTGGTTTCCAAATGAGATGCAAAAGTTGCTCTCATCAGAAAAGAGGACTTTGGACCACTGAGCAACAGACCAGGTCTGTTTTTCTTTAGCCCAGGTAAGACACTTCTGACGTTGTTTGTTGTTCAAGAGCGGCTTGACAAGAGGAATACGACATTTGAATGTCCAGGATCCGTCTGTGTGTGGTGGCTCTTGATGCACTGACTCCAGCCTCAGTCCACTCCTTGTGAAAGTCCCCAACACTTTTGAATGGCCTTTTCCTGACAATCCTCTCCAGGCTGCGGTCATCCCTGCTGCTTGTGCATCTTTTTCTTCCACACTTTTCCCTTCCACATAACTTTCTATTAATATGCTTTGATACCGCACTTTGGGAACATCCAACTTCTTTTGCAATTACCTTTTGAGGCTTTCCCTCCTTAAGAAGGGTGTCAATGATGGTTTTCTGCACAACTGTCAGGTCAGCAGTCTTTCCCATGATTGTGATTCCTACTGAACCAGACTGAGAGACCATTTAAAGGCTCAGGAACCCTTTGCAGGTGTTATGGCTTAATTATCTGATTAGAGTGGGACACTTTGAGCCGAGAATATTGCACCTTTTCACAATATTCTCATTTTCTGGGATTGTGGATTTGGGGTTTTCATGAGCTGTAAGCCATAATCATCACAATGATGACAAATCACGGCTTGAACTATCTTGCTTTGCATGTAATGAGTGTATCTCATATATTAGTTTCACCTTTTAAGTTGCATTACTGAAATAAATGAACTTTTGCACGCTATTCTAATTTTTTGAATTTCACCTGTATATTGCATATCGTAGTCCCAAGTGTTTGATTAGTCAGGAGATTCTTGTGACAAAAAATTGCTCCTACACCCATGTCTTCCTGTACCAAGACAAATACAGGACTGCCATTGCTGACCTGCTTCAAACGCTAATTGGCTGGCTATCTGGGGGATTCAATACTTTGGGGTTGATTTACTAACAGCTTGTTCAGTTAAGCTTTGACAATAAAACCTTAAAGCTGACTGGTTTCTATGCAGAGTTGCACCAGATATTGAACTTTTCAGTTTTAGGAAATCAGCCCATTTGAGTCATTGAACAAGCATGCAAATCAGAAAGTTTGGCAAAATGTCAATGTTGCTAATCTTCATACTTGTCTCCGGTCAGTGACTCGGATGATACTGAAACCAATGGATCAGTATGGCCAAGGAAACGATTATTCAGGAGAGGCAGTGGTGGCCTCCATGTTTCTCTCACTACAAGTTTCTTTTAACCCATTACGGGGGAATCATTTGTAATACCTTGCATTTATTTGCATCTATAGAATTTGCATTGTGTTTATACTGTCATTTTGCTGAACATAAATTTTACTGTAAATGTTTTACCCTGTTTGAGCCCAGCTATAGTTACTCTACATCCCCTCCTAATACATTTTTATTGGAAGCGTAAAACAAGGATTTATTCTTCATGAATGTCTTTCTGTTGGCAGCTGTTGGGCATTGGTGGGAGAGAAGGGAACCTGATCTCCTTATTCCAGGAGGAGCACAGTAAGGTCTTACAACAGCTCCAGGTCTTCACCTTTTTCCCTGAAAACCCTCCTCCAGCCAAGAAGCCTTTTGAGAGAAAAACTATAGAGCGGCAGTCTGCTAGAAAGACCGTACCAAGTCCCGTAAGTAATCCTACGCTCTACTCAGGACAAATAGCACTTAATAATATGTTGTCCCATGTTGTTTTCTGATATGAAGACATCTGTGCTCCTGTGTCTCTTCTCTTAGGCCAAATACATACCACAGACAGATGAACATCGGGCACTGTTACTGGCTCGTTATCCACCAGAAAAACTCTTCCAGGCGGACCGCAACTTCAATGCTGCTCAGGATTTGGATGTGTGCGTGCAGGAGGGTGACCTTGTTGGCGTTATTAAACAACAAGACCCGATGGGCAGCCAGAACCGATGGCTGGTAGATAATGGAGGTGAGAGGGCTTTATTTGGCTTTCCTTAGGCTGGCCATGTGCCATCTGCATAGATTTAGGCAGGTTTGGATCTACCATTGGGCATAGTAGGCCAATGTAAAGGAAAACAAGCAGCTTTCCACTGTGCAGTTAGCAATCACCCTTTTATGCCTAACATTGGTAGAAATGCAGTCATCTCTTCTGAAAGGGGATCTGTGTTGTGCCTAAAAGCGACAGTAGAAGGGCAAAGGTCTTGTCACCAGCACTTGCATGTAGGCTCCCTGCAGCTGATCATTTCCTATTACTGACTTACTGTGCCTTGTTCTGCACTATGCCTGTGTGGAGGTAGCCATTATGGTATGGAAGGACTTTGCTTCCTCATGTCAAAACTGCGCCATGACTGATGATCTGAAGAATTAGATCTGAAGAATGAGTGACAGGAAAGGTAGAGGAAGCACAGATTCACATAATTCATTTTATTTATTCATTTATTTCAGGTATTTATATAGCACTGTCAGTTTACGCAGCATTTACATTCATATACACTAGAGCCAATTTAGACGAGCTAATTAACTTACCAACATGTCTTTGGCATGTGGGAGAAAACTGGAGTACCTGGAGGAAACCCACACAGATGCAGGGAGAACATTCAAACTCCAGGCAGGTACTGTTGTGGTTGGGATTCAAATCAATAACCCTAGGCCGGCTAGGTGGAAGTGCTAACCACTTTGCTGCCCAGAATGAATGAAGCAGAAGCAAGGAGGTCTTTGCACTGCACATCCTCAGATACAGCTTCCTTTCCAACAAAGAGAACATTGATCAGCAAAGTTGTAGAATTACAAAATTTCACTCCAAATCTTGTGAGACTAGCAGCCTGAAGCATCAGTGGCTTAGATGATCTAGATCAGGGGTAGGCATCCTTTCAGAGGTTGAGATCTACCTGGACAACATGGAAGAGAGCAAACATCCAGGGGGGGGATTACTAGGCAGCGCCCTTAGTTTTTTTTTTCTCTCTATCAAGCTCCAAATAAAAAGACGGCATGAAGAACACAAAGTGTGTCACAATAGTTTCCTCTGCCCCCAACCATATCACACCCCACAGTAGTGTCCTCTGCCCTGTTCACATCACCTTCTCACTGTAGTTTCCTCTGTCCCCATAACAGTGTCCTCTTCCCCCCTCCCCCCACAGTAGTGTTTTGTACACCCCCCTCCCAACCCAGTGTCCTCTGCCCCCTTTACATCACCCCCTTTGCCCCGCTGTAGTGTCCTCTGCCCCACTCCCCCCCAGAGTAGTGTCTTGTACCCCCAATGTTGTGTCTTCTGCTTCCCTCCCCTCCCCCACAGTAGTGTCCTGTGCCCCCAGTGCTGTGTCCTCTACCCCCTTCACATCCCCTCTCCTCAAAGTAGTGACCTGTACCCCCCCCCAAGCAGTGTCCTGTACAATGCAGATATACAACTGTGAGGCTTAAGGTGCAGGACGTGCATGGCTGTTATTCTGGAGGAATTCAAGACCGACAAAATGTATGTTTCTCATTGTAGGCACAAATAAATGTTTCTAGATGTTCTTAATTTTTTTTTCTAAATTTCGGCCATTAACATTTCAACAATATGCTAGTGCAGGTTAGGGTCAATAAAACAAGAGCAATTTCTGTGTAAAATTGGTTATCCTAGTAGAGGGTGTTGTTTTCGCCTGCAGTTGTTATGTGTCCTCACGCTCCAGCCTTGGATTTAAGGAACGTGGTCACAAAATCTGCACAGGGCACTATTAATGAAGCCTGTTTTAGGTTTCATGTACATGTTGTCATGTGTGTACCACTTGGGAATCTAGCAGAGCCAAGAGCTTGTTTGAACCATGTGTCCAAAATGGTCCTGAGGGCACTTTTTCTAGTGGTAGGAATAGTAACAACAGCTCTGGTAAGATGTGACGGTCTGCTCTTTGACCTGCCTTTATTCTTCTTTTCAACAGTCACCAAGGGATTTGTTTACAGCTCATTTCTGAAGCCATATAATCCTCGGCGCAGCCACTCGGACGCTTCCATCGGCAGCCATTCCTCCAATGAATCTGGCTATGGTGGCTCCTCTCCTAATTTTTCAAGGCAGAATAGCAACAGCACTTTATCCATCAACGCAAGCAACGCCTCTGTTACCTTCACCAATGCCTCCACTTCAAAAACCGCAGACTCCCCAGTAACAAGCAGCAACCCATTGGACTTGTGTGCTCCATCCAAAGCTGGCTCAGTTGTGGATGGAACCTTTAAAAGGGCCAGTGAAACAGACTCTGGAATATCAGCCCAGGCAATGGAGAAGGAGCAGAGACAATCGCGAGAAAGCTTAACCGACTCTGCCCAACAGATGGACTCTAAAAGACGGGGCAACCAGGTTGAAAATGGAAGTAACTCAACATTACCAAGCAATGGGGACAAAGGGCAGGTCTCCACCAATCGCAGGGGCTTGAGGAAGAAAGGACTTGCTACAGCAACAGAAAAAGAACAAGAAGGCTCTGAGCAAGAGGGGGACCAGGTGAGACTGGATGGGGCTTATTATATGGCGGTATACACCGTTAATTTTCAGCATGTGCTACTGTATGTTCTGTTTTACATTTCATTTAGATGTTTATTGATATTGGTGTGCTAAAGTGGTTGTAAATCTCTCATCTGCCCCCAGGGCTGGATATGTCCCTTTTTAACACCACCTGCTGATGAAGTTTGGTATTGCAGCCTATTAGTCAGCTATATTGATGTTTGTACTCAGGAAGACATAGACCGTGTTTGTCTGCTTTTATTGCTGTGTGCCCCCCCTGGGTAGAGTCTTCACTCTTTTCCACATTATTTAAAGCGATTGTAAAGGTTAGAATTTTTGTTTTTAATGTGCGACTTACCTGTTCTGTGCAGTGGTTTTGCTCAGAGCAGTTCAGATCCTTCTCTTCTAAGGTCCCCTGCTGGTGCTCATAGCTCCTCCCCCTGACGAGTGCCCCCATAGCAAGCTGTTTGTTATGGGGGCACTCGCACAGGCTCAATTTAAAGCTGCGCTCCATGTGCCCATTGACACACACGGCACAGCTTAACCCTGCCTCCTGCTTTCTGCTGATGGCTATGATTGACAGCAGCAGCCAAAGACTCCCTCTGCTGTCTCTGAGCTTATGTGGAGAGAGAGATCGGTGAGAGCCGCTCATGTACAGCGTTGGATCAAGATCGGGTAAGTATAAGGGGGGGGGGGTAGAGGTGGCAGCTGCAGAGAATGCATTAAGGTAAAAAGCCTTCAGTCTTTAGAAACACTTTAAATGTCTTTTATTGCCGTCTATTTCTATGGTGGCAGCTGGTCCCCGTAACAGAAAGTATTGTATAACTTAAATAAAGGAATGTGCTAAAACCACAAACTATTCCTAATTTAGTGTAGAAACATTAGTGCAAAGGATATATATATCTATTCTCAATATCAAAAAATATCAAAATTATGTGCAAAACAATTTTTTAGTGCATAAGTAATTTAAATAATTAAATCAGTGAATATAAAAATTGTCCAATTTTGAATTTCTTCAAATGTCCAAACAAATCCTTTTCAAATTCAAGTGCTCTCAAAGAAATTGTGCCAAAATCCACCACCAAAGTAAAGTTGGGTAACTCACCAGAGCTCCATGCTGATCAATCTCTAGATCACCAAAAAACGCTTTTTGCTCTGGGAGCAGATGCAATAAATCAACTTCTCAGGTGTGATGATCAATAGCTACACAATCATCCATAAGGTAGGTATCCACCACTCAATATAACAGTTCCAGGAGCATTATATCACTCTCTCTTTTTATATCTCTCCACCGAGGTCATGTTTGGGAATGAAAGAAAAAATCATGGTGCAGCCAGTTTTTTTATATAAAAGTATCCAACAATTTAATAAAGATTTCCACTCACAACAGTCTCCTGTTCCCCGCACATTCACTACAGCGCTCGTGACTCAATCCTCTCCACAGACGTCAGCATTTGCTGTTTTATGCTGTTATACTGGTGTCGGTGAAGACACCTTTTTTGTGAGTGGAAATCTTTATTAAATTGTTGGATACTTTTATAAAAAAAACTGGCTGCACCATGATTTTTTCTTTCATTCCCAAACATGACCTCGGTGGAGAGATATAAAAAGAGAGAGTGATATAATGCTCCTGGAACCGTTATATTGAGTGGTGGATACCTACCTTATGGATGATTGTGTAGCTATTGATCATCACACCTGAGAAGTTGATTTATTGCATCTGCTCCCAGAGCAAAAAGCGTTTTTTGGTGATCTAGAGATTGATCAGCATGGAGCTCTGGTGAGTTACCCAACTTTACTTTGGTGGTGGATTTTGGCACAATTTCTTTGAGAGCACTTGAATTTGAAAAGGATTTGTTTGGACATTTGAAGAAATTCAAAATTGGACAATTTTTATATTCACTGATTTAATTATTTAAATTACTTATGCACTAAAAAATAGTTTTGCACATAATTTTGATATTTTTTGATATTAATTGAGAATAGATATATATATCTTTTGCACTAATGTTTGTACACTAAATTAGGAATAGTTTGTGGATTTAGCGCATTCCTTTATTTAAGTTATAGCACTAAGAAATTTATTTGGTTTCTTTGAGGTGAAATTGCTGCTTTAAAGTATTAAGGGTGTGGCGCTTTTATTACACTTGTGAGAAAGTATTGTAAGTTGGGTTATTGTGGGTGCTAAATTGCACCAATGAGATTATCTTCCATAATAATTCTAATATTAATACCATTTGTTCTTTCATGCATTTTGTTAACAGTTAAACTACTTTTATGATCTTATTTGGGCAGGTTGCAGAATCTGCCCACAACAATAGAATATTATAAAAAGCTTCATGGCTAGGGAGAGGACTTCTCTTGGAAAATGCATGGTCAGGCAGTGCAGAAGAAACTGTTTGCTTGTAGCCTAGATAAATGCCATCCTCTTGTGGACAACTATAGCATTGCATGTATTCAAAGAAACCTGACGGTCTGTCCTGTGAAAAGTATTTTTGTATTGGTTTTCATATAGAAAATCTTACTGGCTCCATGGTCTGTTTTTCATTGAGAAAGAAACCTGCCAACCAGCATCTGTCCAGATGAGTTCCTCTTGATGAGTGCTATTATGGGGCCAAGAAACACTCCTGTCTTGCAGCACTTGGGTCCTCAGATCAAATCCAAACCATGACATTACCTGCATGGAGTTTGCATGTTCTGCCTGTGCTGGTGTGGGTTACCTCCAGATACTCCAGCTTCCTCCCACACTTCAAAGACATGCTTGTAGGTTACCTGGCTCCTCTTTAAATTGGCCCTAGTATGTATTCATGGGAAGAAGGAACCTTCGATTGTAAGCTCATGGGCGCAGGGACTGATGTCAGTGTAAAATTTATGTAAGCGCTCTGTAAATTGACAGATTTAATAAATACCTATAATACATTTTGAAAAATAACATTTATTACACTTATTTATATAGCAGCAGCATGTTACATACTTGTACATTCACATGTCTCTTTTCTCTCAAGGAGCCTACAGCCAAAGGTCCATGAAAGAACAGGGAGAACATGCAAACTCCATGCAGATAGTGTTCTGGCCAGGACTCAAACCAGAGATCCCCATTCTGCAAAAGCAGAAGTGCTAACCACCAAGCCACTGTGCTGCCTGTCAGCTTTGCGCCGTACGCTACAGGCTTTGGGTTTGGTTGTACTGGTCCAGTTGTTGTATCTGTATTATTGGCAGAATGTGATGATGATCAGTTTTTCTCCTTGTATCTTTGCAGGTGTATTATGCAGTATACACCTTTAGGGCACGCTCCCCCCAACGAACTTACAGTATCGGCCAATCAGAGACTCAGGATCCTGGAGTTCAAAGACATGAACGGGAACAGCGAATGGTGGTTGGCTGAAGTGGAAGGGCGGCGCGGGTACGTGCCATCCAATTACATCCGGAAGACGGAGTACACGTGAGACGATCACCCTACAGACGCCTGTACCTGGATTTCATATCACCTAGAGAACATTTGTGCCTTTTTTCCCGGATGACAGTTTTCATTTGTTTGCTGCTGATATCACTTGAACAATATTTATGAGAATGTGGTTTTTCTACTCTAGAACTTGGAATCAGCTAGTACGTCCAGAGCAGAAGACAGGATTTTGCTTGCATTAACCAGACTGCATTGTACTGACTCAAGAAGTTAGCAAACGGGGCGGAGTCGGGAACAGGCTCATTAGGCAGAGGCGTGACCTTGGGGGGGAAGAGGCTTTTGAAGCTGTAGGACTGCAAGTCCCAGAATGCCAACCAAAGCCTGGTAGCAATGGAGAAAGGCCACTTCCTTTTTATGATCATTAAAATGGGGCTCATTTATGAATAGGGGGCAAAAAAATGAACTGCTGTTCCTGGCAGCCAATCAGGTTTTGCCTTTTGAAGAAACAAGGATTCTGATTGGTTGCATTAGGTCTGCCCCAGTGTGTTCATCTAGGCAGAGCGAATAGTCACAGGCCATTGCTGTGATGGAGTTTTGTGTATTAAATACACTGCGAATGTACAACATCCTTCCACTTAACAATCTCTTTATTTCTGATACAGACATATACATTTGATATACATAATGGCATAAATGTGCGGAAAGCAAAGCGCACTTGTGATTGAACATTTTTTCCTTGTTCTGGGTGTCATACCAATCCAGTCGCACATTTTGCTGTGCATTGATTGGCTAGAGGTCTCCCAGTGATACACCCCCAAAAGCGCCTTGGTCCAGCTTATGATTGGCTTGCACACAACAGAGCAAGCAGCACTTATGTCTCTTATTTTTAAATTTGACCTAAAAACAGTTCCCAAAAATAAAAATCAGCCGCTTTTCCCTACGCTTTCCCTTAAAGGAACTGTTCACTTTTGCACAAAACTGTTTATCCAGCCATCTTCTATCTTGTGGAGACTAGGCGTGGCACCTCTTGGGTTCAGCCACTGGAGGCTGGACGATTGGGGGTCACCTATCAATTTGCCTTCTGGAGGCATCTGCTGCAGGGCGCCCCCTAGCTAGTGCAGAAGTAGGGTGTAACCAAAAGTAGACATGTCCTTTAAAATGAAAGAGATTGGTCATGATTATCCCATATTTAACTACTCTTCAGTGTGTGGTGATTACAGGTCTCTAAGCAGTATTAGTATATTTACATTTAATATTTTCTAAAGGCTATATTTCTCCAGTCTCATCCGTATCGTGAACCACAATGTTATGGTGCAGATCTCCACTGGTAGTTCAGCTTTAGATTGGCGTATCACTTGCAAATCCTTGGGGTGAGATATCCACACCGGTCTTTATGCTGCAGACACAAGGAATGTTGCTCACCCTGTTGGGTTTAATTTTATGGAAAATACTGCAGGAGGAGTGAGACTGAGGTTTGTAGAAAGCAGAGCTGGGAAGTCTCATCTCTTGCTCCACAGAATATTAATGGATCCACTGAGTGATCACGTGCGCCGGTCCATAGCCCAGACTGATATACTGATTTGAATTCTGCAGACAATTTAAATTTACATTTAATTAATTGCTTTAAATTTAAATAAAAAAACATCCCCAACCTATCCTGCTGCCCGTTACTGGAATCTCCGCTCTCTTGAAGAGCTAGGAGGCTCTGAAGAATCTTCACATCTGATACTTCTAGGAGTGTTGGCTTCCTGTTCCCTCTGCTGTGAGCTATGGTTCCATCCACTGGTGCCTAAGTCATTATGGTGAAGTAGGGGCTGGCGGATTAAACCACAACCCTTGGTGGGGGGATGCTGGAATTTGACACTCCCAGAAGTGTCTGATGTGCCGATTGTTCGGTTGACTGTAGCTCTCAACCAGTGCTTAGATTCCAGGAATGGGATGGCGGGACACTTTTACGTCAAGAATGTCCATACTTTTCAACAAATGTGTGTGCCTGAGCTATTTAATGTGTACAATAGTAAATCTAATAGTTTCTTGGCCCATAAATGCTGGATGCAGCATTGCACAGCTGGAGAAAGGCCTCTACATTGCCTCGGTATCTCGGCATTAGACTCTGGGACAATGAGAAGGGGGCAGAGTCTGGTACATAGGAAAGAATGCCAGGCCAGACACGGAGCTCATCTATCCTGTCTATGGCTCCATGTATAAATCTGTCCCTACTGACAGGATACAGAGTCTCAGCTAATGTACACACCGGACCTGGTCTGTGCTGATTGCTCCGTGTTGTTCACCATTTATAGACCGAAAAAGGGACCCGTGACACTATATAAACATCCGCTAGTTCAGGCACACAACTGTACTTAGTGTATCTAAACCCAAAATCAAAAATGTATTTGCAGCTTAGCGGTTCTCAGATGTTGGAGGCTGCATTAGTTTTCTTTTTTTTTTAAGGTATTTTTCTTTATTTTCAGCTGCCAATTCAAAATAGTAAAATTCATTGTAATATAAATGGTAAATTACTATCCAAAATAGTAAACAGGCATGATATGTCTCTTCTACAATAAACAGCCTACCTGCTCACAATTATTCAAAGTTAGATTTAGTTCCACTTTAACCCCTTTCTAACCCCCTCCTGATGGCCCTTTAACTGGGTCTCAACACCGAGACGCAGGGCAGACTTTCTGATCACCTGATCCTTGTGATTGGCTGTCCTACTGGTCAAATGATAAGAAGCTTGTCCTGCTGGCTCCTGATCATAAACAGAGATCTGGAGCTGTCTGTGACCGCTCATTCACTGCTGGGAGTGTGTAGCATGTTCTCTCTCAGCACAAAAACATTGGGCACCATGGATGAATATGTACAGGGAGTGAGCGTTCACACCCACCATCCCTACTGCCACATTTGTTAATTGTTGAATAAGAGGTTTAAAGTGCTACCTAGAGTTTGGCTTTAATTTGATAGTCAAGTCCATCTAAATCTATTAGTCCATCGAATACTAGCCTTTCCCAGGAAGACCAGGCTGCTGTCTAAATGTGTCTCCATTGTTCCTCCAGTGGAGTGGAGACACCCTAAGACAGGAAGTGTGTTACTGGCTGGATCACAAGGTGCAATATAAGAAAAAAAGTGTAAAAAAAAGAAAACTACAGCCACCACTTTTACAGCAAAACTTTAATCAGAAAATTAAGTCCTGCTAAATCACTTCTTGCTGGCCCCTTTTGCAGGTATAGCTATGTAAAAACGTTAAAGTAAATGCCCATACGGTGTAAAATCCAGTAATCTACTGTCCCACCCAGCTCTGCACATGCTCAGTTGTTCTTTATTCTCGGCACTGTGCCGAAGACCAGAGCCACTAGAGTCCAATGTGCTGATATCTTAAAAGATTTAGTGGGGCTCTGGGCTTCAGCAAAATGGCAGCCTCTGTAGCATAAATAATTATGTGGAATGTATGTTCCTCGCTAAAGAACATTATTTTTTATCAAGTTATTAGGGTAACGTTGAGCTTTAAGGATTGGTAAGCTAAATAATATTTTTTTTTTAGGGGTGTGGGGGGAGGGAGGGTTGGATACACTTTAAAACTACAGTTATTGATATATTCATTCTTACCTATATTTTAGAATTTGGAAACAATTTTCTGAACACAACTATCTGAGCAATACCATGACTTTAGTTCTACAATAAACAAGGGCCATGAAGAGGACCTGTCATTATACAGAAGGGCCTGTAATGGAGAGCAGCGCAAGCCCCTGAGAAATGAAGCGTAGTTCCCTTGTAGCACACAGACTGGGCGGCTTGTAGATAAGGACAGACCGATAGACAGATGGATTTGACTACTGAATAGGATGTACAATCCGGGTTCAATTCTCTTCCAATCCCACGGATGTATTTTATCATTTTGTATATGTGTATAAAGAATAGCCTTTGCACATTTTCTGATAGGCACCTTTTTAGAGCAGACAGTTTCTTTACTGATCAGTTTTATAGAACAAATATTTTATGATACATTTTGTGTATTTTTATACAGTTGTTTCATTTTTTTTCTTCTGACAGCAGAAATAAACAGGATTCTGCTTCTTTGTACCTAGAGGCTGTGGTTCAGTGAGGAGCGGTGAGGGAGATTCCATTGTGCAATGCTATGATGAACCAATAAACCTCAGATATAACAATATACGTGTGTATGTGTGTTCCTGTGATCATTGTCTAAGGCTCTGACGTGTGTTTTCCATGCACTTTAGGTGCAACGAGTTTAAAAAAAAACCTGCTTGCTGCATCTTTTGATGTGCTTTCACCAAAACGCATGTTGTATAGAGTTCAATGGTAACGCATCTAAAGCACATGAAAGCGCACTGCCTAAGGCTGCATTCACACTATAGCAATTTATGATCATGTGCAATGATGCATGATTTTGTGTGCATTTGCGAAACATTGCAGGTTTATTGTGAGTGGAACCCCAAATGCGTCATACAGAGGCATGCTTTTTCATGTGAAAAACACAGCTAAAAAAGAGCTTGAAGCTCAAAAATATAGATGTGCTACAGTTGTCACACGTAGGCTCTCCTGCTATGGAAAAACCGACAACAAATGTTAAGGAGATGGCTGATTCATAGCTGCAGTGTGTCTTGGCTGTGAGCGCTTTCCCAAGGCAAGTAACAGCAAGGAGAAAGCAGAAACTGATGCTCCTCCCTCCCTCTGCATTCTTCTTGCTGTTGCTTGTCTAAGGAAAGTGTTCAGAGCTGAGATAAACTGCAGCTATGAATCAAACATCTCCTTCACAGCTGTTGTTGGAATGACCATGGCAGTAGGGAAGGAAAGCAGGTTACACCTCATAACTTGGTTTAGAAACATGGGACAGAGTCTGTTGTAACCCTAGTTATGCAGTTCAACCACCCACCCACCATATCTATTGTGGTCAATCTGACAACAGCTGTGAAGGAGATGGCTGATTTATAGCTGCACTTTCCACAGACAAGCAACAGCAAGAAGAATGCAGAAGCTGACACCTACCCCTTCCTTCTGCATTCTTCTTGACATTGAACACTTTCCTGC